GAAGGCCCGAAACTCGATTTCCACTTGGAGGCAATGGTGAGTCTCTGTATGTGATGGCCAGTACCTTAAGCTGAGCCTGGTAACAGATGAGCAGCCAATGGAGGGCCTGCAGAATGGGGGTCATATGTTTGCAGTTAAGAAGTCTTTTGCCCGGTTGTGGCTGACAGGCTAATGATCTGTTATATTCTGATAAAGAAAGGCAGCCCATGTTGGATACTCTGTAGGGTGGAGCTATGTAAGGTTTGCTCTCAAAGAGGAAAAAAATCCACAGAAAAATCCTCATGCAAATAAAGTTTACGTTGTGCAACCTACATCAGACATAGTAGGAGCTGGAACTAGAGACGGGAGCTCACTCCGTCATGTGGCAACTTGGGTCTCGAACTGCTGAACTACTGACCTTCCACAGCCTGCAGTTCAGCGTCTTAACCACTTGAGCCACCACAGCACCTATGTGTATGTGATAGCCAGTACCTTAAACTGAGCCCGGTAACAGTTGGGCAGCCAATGGAGGGTCTGCAGAATGGGGGGTCATATGTTTGCAGTTAAGAAGTCTTTTACCTGGTTGTGGCTGACAGGCTAATGATCTGTTATATTCTGATAAAGAAAGAAAGTCAGCCCATGTTGGATACTCCTGTAGGGTGGAGCTATGTAAGGTTTGCTCTCAAAGAGGAAAAAAATCCACAGAAAAATCCTCATGCAAATAAAGTTTACGTTGTGCAACCTACATCAGACATAGTAGTTCCAAGTCTGAGTTTTGAAACTTGAGTCTTCCCAGTTCAATCTTTCTTCTGCCGTGAATTCACTTGGAGGTCTTAGGCAAGACCTACCAAGACCTACCTTTTACAGTGTTAAGAAGCAAGGAGGAGATATGGGACACTTTTGATCATCATTATTTTTCTGTTCAAGTCATGAGAGGAAGGAGGAATTCAGAATGCTGAACCTGCCCCCTTCTTTGGGCTAACAGCTGTGCACATCTGGCCTTTATCTTGGGTTTTGGGGGGTTCCTGCTGGCTTCTTTCTCAACATACAATTTTTTGACTTGTTCCGCAGTGAAGAAGGAAGTGTTTAGATCGTTAGAGGCAGGGCTTTTTATCTGGGGGAACCTACCGGAATGGAGTTCCGGAACCTCGTTGACAAGATCCTTTTAAAAATGTTTAAAAGTTCATGAGTCTTCAGTATACAGATTGAAGACTTCATTACCCTCTTGAGAGTTCCGGCACCTCTGAAGAAACCCCCTAAGCTCTGTTTAGAGGTACTCTTCTGACTGAAAAGTTCCAGATTGTGTCAGTGCAGCTGCTGGTTAAGTAAAAGAGGCATGAAGAACTCTGATTGTTCACTGGAGGGGGGGTCTGAAAGTGCGTGCGTGCACATGCACGCATACGTACTAAAGGAAAACAGTGGTGTGCCTCAGAGACATGCGCTTGGAGCGGGGGCACCCAAAAAGGGGGAGCATGTGCTTAACATTCGTGCATCCTCCCCACGCGTTCTGAAATGCAACAGCCAACACTGGTGCAGTTCTAAACTTTCCGGGAATCCCCCGGACTTATCATGTCTCCACCAATACTCCCTCTAAGCTGTGGAGTCTTGCGAGCAAAAATTCTACACTGGTCTCCACTCATTTGCAAGTCTAGCTTCCCAAACTTACGAAGTGTGCAGGCGCACGAAAGCATATAGCCCGAATTAAACCTTGTGTGTCTTAAAGGTGCCTCTGGAGTCAAACTTTCTTACGAAGGGCCAGGGAGCTGAAATGAAGATACTTGGGTTGCTCATTTGAATCCTTTACCACATTCTCTTGTTTTCCTTGAACTTGCACAGAATTGCTGAACGCCCACGGCCCTGTTGTTGGGCTTGCGCGGGAGGGCAAGCCTGACTTCTCTGCTGTCCTTATACCCTTCAGAGATGGGAGGAGTGTGCTTTTCATCCCCACCCCCCAATATTCCAAGAAGCTTTCCTTCAGCCTGAGTGGCTCTTCTATTGGAGGGAGCTGCCTTGGACAGGAGGAAAATGTCCAGCTTTGCACAGTGGAGTGGTAGGAGACAGGCCCGTGATTGCCAAATATCAGTTTCTGTAGGGAAGGGCAACATCCGAACAGAGCCTGCGACCCGGTCCTACTCTCCAGAGTCTCATGGGAAATGGGATGCTAGGCTGTACAGGCCACTGCTCTGATTCAATAGGGGTCTTCTTGTGTTCTTAAACTGAAGCGTAGCTGTCATGATCTGGACTGTGCCACCAGAGGCCTACTAGGCCCAGGGAGCCTGGCTAGCAGTAGGGGAGGCTGGGCCTACAAACCCCAGAATGCCTTGGGAAGTTTTGGTGCCAACTTTGACCAATAGGGAAGAAGAGGGCTGGGGAATAAAAGAACTGGTACAAGAACAAAAGCTGATCTTCTTCCCAGGAAACAGGGCCAGAAGAGAGGCTGCTGTGGGAAAGAGACCCTCATCTTGAGGGAGGGGTGAGTAGTCTAAGGCCACTTGAGATAGTGAGCTAGAGACAGTATATATTTAGATGCGTTAGGGCATTTGATTTCTTTTCACCCACTTACTGTTATTATTCTGCACCTTGTTTGTTTGACCTCCTATAAAATAAACCTTTTCCTTGTTGTACTCTGCCTGGTTCTCATGCTTATTATTTGGCCAAAAGGGAGGTCTGAAGGTCTTGGGAGGGTGCTCTGGGCCTTCTCAAGGGATCCTAAATCTAGAGTGGTGGCAGCGTCAGGTGACACCCCACCTGAGCCGTGACAGTAGCAAAGTTTCCTTCCTGAGCAGAAGGGCGATATAGATGACCAAGGTGTTCCTCCTCTCCAAAGCAAACCTCTGGATAGTTCGCCCATCTGCTCTTCTGCATTTACGTATGTTCACTTTTGGCTCTTTTTTAAAAAATACCCTTGTGTTCTCATGCAGAGTTGAAATTGAGTGTGTGCCCCCCCCTTCATACCCTTGGCATTTTGCGCAACACGCAGCAGGTTTAGCCTAGTCTGTTGAGGAGCAGCTTTTCACTGCAGACACATTGTGCTCTGAATTGTGCTCTGACTCTTTTAACATACCTCGAATCTCCCACTTCTGAAGCCCACCAAGGAACCAACTCTGAGATTTGTATCAGTCTGGTGACTTGCAGTCTGGTAATCTTCCATCTCAGATCATGGACATACAATGGCTGGTAAGCTTAGGCAAACATCCACACACACACACCCTTACTAATCCAGAGGTCTCTGTGGGATGTGGGGATTTGTTCTTCCTGAAGCCAAAGTGTGTACTTGATTTTTTTGGTCTGTCCAGATTCTTGCATTTCAATGTTTATTTGTTTTGGGATGTGTATGCTAACCATTTTTATCAATTATCCGTGGCTTTGATGGCAGAAAGACTGGTTAAGTAAAAGAGGCATGAAGAACTGTGATTGTTCACTGGAGGGGGGGGGGTCTGAAAGTGTGTGCGTGCACATGCACGCATACATACTAAAGGAAAACAGTGGTGTGCCGCAGAGACATGCGCTTGGAGCGGGGGCACCCAAAAAGGGGGAGCAGGTGCTTAACATTCGTGCATCCTCCCCACGCGTTCTGAAATGCAACAGCCAACACTGGTGCAGTTCAATGTTCCCTCTAAGCTGTGGAATCTTGTGAGCAAACATTCTACTTTGTGAGCTACCGGCATGAAAGTTGTGAGCGAGCGATTTGGCTGCTGCATACATTAGTTTGCTCTGGAGTCGTCCTTCCCGAGCCAAGGCAAAAATGTGTGAGCCAGAGGCTAAAAAACAGTGAGCTAGCTCACACTAACTCAGCTTAGCGGGAACCCTGGTGCAGTTCTAAACTTTCCTTGGGGACTCCCCCGGACTTCATCATGTCTCCACTCATTTGCAAGTCTGGCTTCCCAAACTTATGAAGTGTGCAGCCACACGAAAGCATATAGCCCGAATTAAACTTTGTGTGTCTTAAAGGTGCCTCTGGAGTCAAACTTTCTTACGAAGGGCCAGGGAGCTGAAATGAAGATACTTGGGTTGCTCATTCGAATCCTTAAGCTTAGGCAAACATCCTCCACCAGCCCCTTACTAATCCAGGGGTCTCTGTGGGATGTGGGGATTTGTTCTTCCTGAAGCCAAAGTGTGTACTTGATTTTTTTGGTCTGTCCTGATTCTTGCACTTCAATGCACTTCAATGTTTATTTCTTTTGGGATGTGTATGCTAACCATTTTTAACAATTATCCGTGGCTTTGATGGCAGAAAGCATTTTGTTTCAAATATTGGTGTCTCCAGCTTTGGAAAATTTTCTTCCCGACATGCCTGATTATTTCAGTCTTTGTACTTTCTCCTGGTTCCCTTTGATTGTGAAGAGGGGTTAGAGTAAAATCCTGCAGAAACAAGAGGCACCGGGAATGAGCCTCACACCATGCCAACGGTGTCCCCTTGGACTTTCTTCTGGGGTGGAGTCATACCATCCTTTGTGTTCAGGAAGGGTTATTTCTACCATCACTGGAATTCCTGCCATAGTATAACCTAGAACTCGTAGCTGTTTACTCTCAGGGAATCGAAAGTTGAAAATTGGTTGGGGCTTGCTTTTTGGAACAGAGTGCCCATGCTATTGGCTGAGGCACAATAAGTGACTTGTTGAGGACACTGGAGATCTTGAGATGTGGGAATGAAGGACTGGTGTCTGGTGGGCAGAGCCCAGTAGTCACAGCTGGGGACCCAAGATGACATCTAGCTCTTCAGAAGAGGAACGTGGCCGTGTTTCTGGTGTGCATTTTACTTTTCAAGCCAAGCGGAAAATTGCCTCCTCCTCTGGTTCTGACAATCTAACCGCAGATTTTCCTCTTTTCACTCTGGAAATCCTGAGGTTTTCCTGGAAATTCTGAGATCCGGTAGTCCTGGTCACAAAGGAAAATCACAAATGTGTGTGTGAGAGGGAGAGAGAACGCGCAGCAATGCTTTGGAATTCTACCGACAGCAAATAAGCCTTCCAGTGTCTGATTCATCTCTCTCTTTTCCTCCCTTCCTCTCCATGTTCTAGATTAAAAAGCAGCAGCAAGATGTGGTGGGCTTCATGGAGGCCAACAAGATTGAATTCGAGGAGAAGGATATTGCGGCCAATGAAGAGAACCGCAAGTGGATGAGGGAGAATGTCCCCGAAGAGTGCTGGCCGGCCAGCGGGAATCCGTTGCCCCCTCGACTCTTTAACGACGGCCGGTACCTCGGGGTGAGAGCCAGACCTCCATTTGGCCCCTTTCGGCCTAAATTACTGGGAAAGCTCTTCTGTGTGAATCTTGTGGATATACGTAACAGAAACAGTCCAGGGCTATTTTTGGGCAGGAACGCACAGGAACGGAGTTCCGGCTGGCTCCCGAGTTGGCCACGCCCAGCAGGAACTCATTAGCAGCCACGCCCAGCAGGAACTCATTAGCATAATAGGCCACACCCAACAGCAGAAACTCATTAGGACTGGCTACATTAGGGGTGTGTGGCCTGACATGCAAAGGAGTTCCAGCTACAAGAAAAAGCCCTGGGTTTTGACAATAAACAAGGTAAACAGAATAAGAAGCAAAAGGTGAGTGTGGCTGGATGACCACACTTCTGGTAATGTGCGGGTGTGGCCTAATAGGCTAATGAGCATCTCTGTCATGGGTGTGGCCTAATATGCTAATGAGTTCCTGCTGTTGGGTGTGGCCTAATATGCTAATGAGTTCCTGCTGTGCTTTGTCTACAAAAAAAGCCTTGAGAAACACCATCCTGTCCACTGGCCCTGTTCATCTTAGTGTGTGGACAGGGTTGCCAGCTCCAGGTTGTGAAGCACTTGGAAGATTTGGGGGGTGGAAACCGAGGAGGACAGACCCGGGGGGGGGGACTTCAGTGGGGTACCATGCCATAGAGTCCACCTTCCAAGGCAGCCATTTTCTCCAGGGGAACTGATCTATGTTGCTTGGAGATCAGCTTTTGTAGTGAGAGATCTCCAGCCACTACCTGGAGGCTGGCAACCCCAGTGCATATAGGACTGGGTGGATCTAGCCTCCATCCTCCAAGGAGCTTTCCTCTGATGGAAGAGCAGCCGAACTTAGAGCAAGTCTTCAAATCTTGCTCAGTTGAGACATAGGACTAGGGTTGTAGGTGGGCAGTAGCTTCAGGATGGACAAAAGAAGAAGAAAAGTTGGTTTTATAGCCCGCTCTTCACTACCAAAGAAAAAGAAAAGTTGGTTTTATAACCCACTCTTCACTACCCGAAGGCACTTTGGAGTGGCTTACAATGGCCTTTCCCTTCCTCTCCCCACAACAGACACCCTATGAGGTAGGCGGGGTTGAGAGAGCTCTCTTGAGAACCTGCTCTTGAGAGAACTGCCCTGAAAGAACTTGTGACTGACCCAAGGTCACTCAGCTGGCTGCATGTGGAGAAGTGGGGAATCAAACGCGGCTCTCCCGATTACAGTCCGCTGCTCTTAACTACTACACCAAGTTGGCTTCTCCAGGAAATACTACTTTACACAGGGAATACTACTTTACAGAGAGAGTGTTTAGAATGTGGGATTTGCTGCCAGAAGACGTAGTGATGGCCACAGAAGTAAACTGCTTTAAAGGGGGATTAGATGGATTCATGGAGGATATGTCTGTCAATGGCTGCCAGCCATGGCACCACCGCCTATATATAGGGGGTGGTGGCCATGGTGACTGAGGGGAACCTCCACATTCAGAGGCACTAATCCTGAATCCCAGAGCCAGGAGGCAACATCAGGGGAAGGCCTCGGCCTCTATGCCCTGTTGTCAGTTGTCCAGAGGAACTGGTTGGCCACTGTGTGAGACAGGATGCTGGACTAGATGGACTATGGTCTGATCCAGCAGGGCTCTTATTTCTTATGTTGCCAACCCCCAGGTGGGGGTTGGAGTTCCCCCAGAATTACAAGTGATCTCCAGACTACATAAATCCTTCCTTCCTTCCTCTCCTGGAGAAAATGACTGAAGGTAGACTGCATGGCATTATACCCCATTGAGGTCTCTCCACTCCCTAAATCCCCCTTTCCCAGGCTTCACCCTCAAATCTCCAGGTATTTCCGAACCCGGAGCTGGCAGCCCTCCGTGGGACGGAGGTAGGATCCGTCCGCAAAGGACTGTGCTTTTTGAAGATACAGTTACCTGTTTGTGATTAATCTGTGCTACAAACGTAATACTGTACGTTACATATTTGTTTACAATATTTTGTTCCATTTCTTGAAGGAGTTGACTTCTGTAAATCTGAGATAAGCAGAAAGGAACTTTTTTTAATCTGTACCTTTTTATTGCTTAAAGCATTCTGGTGCAGTTTTAAGAGACCCTGCTGATTAAAACTTATTTTGATGCTTTGGGGGAGGGGGGGGAGGAGTTAAAAAAGGCCTAGCAGCACTGGAAGGTTTCTGTAGAGTGAGAGTTTCAAAGACTTGGAGCCACTAAACCGTGGCAGAGCTCTGGCTTTGCATTGAGAATACATTCAATCCATGGCAGCTCAAGTTTAAAGAGTCTCTGGGAGAGACTCCCCCCCCCCCCCGACCCGAGATCATAGGAGGCACTGCTCAGTAATAGGCTAGATGGACAAAATGCCCTCGCTCGGTATAAGGCAACTTCATACATGCTGTAAGGACAAGGGCTGCCTGCGGCAGAGATTTCCTACCTAAGAGAATGAATTGGGGGTGGAGGGTGCAATTCAGAGCAGCCAGCATATCTTAATAGGCATGTTGGGCCTGTGGAACGAGCATCTAAAATCCTTCCTCACCCTCCCTGTCAGTGAAACCTGTAACAGAACACCTTATTCACATGAAACTGCCTTGTACTGAACCAGACCCTCAGTCCATTCAAGTCAGTATTGTCTAATCAGATTGGCAGTGGCTCCCCAGTGGCTCAGGTGGAGGTCTTTCACGTCACCTCCTGCCTGGTCTTTCTAACTGGAGATGCCAGGGATTGAACCTTGGACCTTTCGCATGCCAAGCACAGATGCTCTACTGCAGAGCCACAGCCTCTCCCTGTCCTGATCTGTATACATACTGCAGCTTCATCTGTTCATGTGTGTACATAGGATCCACCCAACATTAAATCACTTTGCTTCTGTTCCCATTCTGGCTGCTGAAAAGTCGAGAGTAAGCCCCTCGGGGCAGGGACCTGTTCATGCACGTTGTTCTATTGAGTGTCATGCACATTGTGGTTATTGTAGAGATGACAGAAAGCAGCCACCTCTCCTTCAGAATCCTAAGACGCAGGGCTATTTTTGGGCAGGAACGCACAGGAACGGAGTTCCGGCTGGCTCCCAAGTTGGCCACGCCCAGCAGGAACTCTGGAGGATGCTTCAGTCTTAGATCCCTTCCAGTCCGGCTTCTGCCCGGGTCACGGAACCGAGACGGCTTTGGTCGCCCTGACTGACGATCTCCGGAGACATCTGGATCGGGGCGGTGTGGCAGCACTGGTGTTGTTAGATCTGTCGGCAGCGTTTGACACTGTCGACTACCAGTTGCTAACCCATTGCCTTGCCGACGTGGGGATTCGGGGGCTTGCCCTTCAATGGCTTGCCTCTTTCCTGCAAGGTCGGGGACAAAGGGTGGCTTTCGGGGATCAGCGCTCCCGTAGGTACCCCATTGAGTGTGGGGTGCCACAGGGGGCTGTGCTGTCCCCGATGCTATTTAACATCTATATGCGCCCCCTTGCCCAGATTATCCGGAGTTATGGGCTGGGGTGTCACCAATATGCGGATGACACCCAGCTCTATTTGATGCTGGGTGGCCGGTCGGACTCGACTCCTGATGACCTGCATCGGGCACTGGAAGCTGTGGCTGGTTGGCTCCGACTGAGTCAATTGAAACTAAACCCGGCGAAGACGGAGGTCCTGGGCCTGAGTCGGACCGGGACAGGAGTGGGGTTCCCTCTCCCGACCTTCGATGGGGTGCCTTTGGTGTCTGCGTCTGGGGTTCGGAGTTTGGGAGTTCACCTGGACTCCGCCTTAACGATGGAGGCCCAGGTGGCAGCCACTGTCAAGTCCGCCTTTTTCCATCTTCGGCGGGCGCGGCAGTTGGCCCCCTACCTGGACCGTGATGATCTGGCCACAGTGATCCATGCGACGGTCACCTCGAGGCTAGACCACTGCAACGCTCTCTACATGGGGCTGCCTCTGTCGCAAATCCGGAGGCTGCAACTGGTGCAGAATGCTGCAGCCAGGCTGTTAATGGGTCTCTCTAGAAGGGACCATATTCAGCCTGTGCTGAAAGCGCTGCACTGGTTGCCAATAGCGTACCGGATTCGCTTCAAAGTGCTGGTTCTTACCTATAAAGCCCT